TAGAGGTGTGACACTTGGCACCTTCCCAAATCCTTGTCTGGGATTTGGGAAGGCTCGTGTACTCTATGTACTCATGTATGTATTAAATACAACTAAACCAAACACTGTAAAAGTGTTACACCCTCTCCGCAGTACGGGGATGCCGGACCAACCCACCGCGGTGAAGAAGAGGACAAGGGCGGCGTCAACAAGAGGACAGCGACGCAGGGGCGCTAGGACGCAACCGGCCAGGGCAAGGGTGAAACCCGCTCGCTTCGCCGCCTCCTCGGAGGCCTCTTCGGGCGGCTGTAACTCGGACGGCGACCACATCCACGATGCACGCCCAACCGGCGTGGCCACGGCGGGCGCGGCCGACGAACCCCCACAACTTTCGGGCGCCGACTGGGCAACGCTGCAGAAGCTCGTTGCTCAGGCTCGGAGGGCCCCCCCCCCCTCCTATTCGAGGCAACGGCAGACTTCAAACCCCGGCGGAGCGGGCGACATGGACGCCCTCACGAACCGTCCTACACGCACAGCCTCCCCCCCTGTGCGCCGCCCACAGTCAAGGGCGAGGAGACACGCGACACAGCTCTTCCAGCACGTCCTCCAACGGTACTGCCGCCCTCGTTCCTGCAAGACGCAGGACTCGCCGAGAAGCCAACCGCAATCCCGCAGCACCTCCTGCCCTGCAACTTCACCCTGAAACTGTAAGGACGGTGCTAGACTCCCTGCAGCCCACGACACGGCGAGCGTATCAACATAAGTGAGCGTAGTACGTGGCGTATGTATGGAACAACAGGGGGCGGGAGTGTCCCTTCAAGGCCTCGTCCACGACACTGGCGAACTTCCTGCTGTCCCGAGGTTTGGCTTTCCGCTCTCTCAGCGCCTACCTTGCGGCAATCGCCTTCATGTTCAAGCTGCATGGTAGGGAGGATCCTACTCGCCAGTTCCTAGTCACACAACTACTTAAGGGAGCGCGCAACAAGGCACAACGGCTCCCCGCACGACGATTGCCCGTGACCAGACATCTACTGCATCGACTACTGGGGGCCCTGCCGCTCGACTTACGAGAAGACCTGCTACCGAGCGCTCTTCTCCCTCGCCTTGTACGCCTGCCTCCGGCCAGGGGAGGTGACCTATACGGGAAGGGTCAACACACGCTACGCTTGGACCAGCTAACTTTATCGCGGCGCACATTTAAGCAATCGCTCCAATCGCCCTCAGTCCTACACAGCTCCATTACGCTACGCTCGAAACACCCGCCCTCCTCCCTTGACTGCAGAACATGTATGCTCTTTGGGCTCCTCACGTTTCTCCTAATAATACCTTTGATGTTTGTAAAATTTTTGCTTTCTCCTCACTTGCACAATAGTTACTGTGTTGGGAGAGTCTGTCTGAGAAAATCTCGTATCTCACGGAATGTGACGGACAGGGCAAAGATAGTTTTATTATTAATCATGGAAGAAAGTAGAGTGAGAATATTATCTTTGAGCGTTAATGGGTTAAAATTTAGTGCGGTGGATGTACAGTATTATACTCTTAGATAGTACTATATTAACCTGAAATGTTAAATGGGATTGTTGTATTTGTACTCAGTGAATTTGTGCGCCGGGGAGGGGTAGAAATACCCGAAGCTACTGTATCCCTTTCAGATGTATTTTTCCTTGTCTCAATAAAGATACGTGAATTGAACGCAGCTGTTTTTTTGTTAACAACCACATGTTTTTTGTCTTGTTTTTATTCACAGGTGACATGTATGTATGTATATAGTGCATATTATATATAAACCTGCTTGGATGCAAATGGAACGTTGTGTGACAATTGAAAAGCAATCACTGAAGACCTTTCTGAGATTATGTATTTCGAAAAACTAATATTATTATATTTTACACATGAAAATTAAATACAAAAATCATTAATATTGAGTAATGTTCAAAACTCAATATTATTCAATATTGAAGAACATTATTGAATATTATTTAGTTGGCCGCACCACCCCCTCGCAGCGCCCAACAACTAATGGTTTGATTGTTGGCGCCGAAGGCGGCTAGTTTATTGTGCACCCCATACTCATCCTGTGAGCGGTAGCGCCAAAGCATTACAGAGGGCACAAAAGGTCTTTACCAGACCTCATCTTAGATTATTACATAAACCATATCTTCAGTCCTTCACACCTTATAGATACAATGTCAGCTAGTTACAGAGAAAGTGCTATCAAGTACTGGGAACGCGAGACGTGGCGACGACTGCCCCCCCCCACAGTGGCGAGGCCTGAACTCCAGGGTACTGTACCTTGTACTGTAGTGTACTCTACGGTACTGTACTGTTCTGTATTGTACTGTACAATACTGTGCCCTATACTGTACTGTATCGTACGGTACTGTATGGTACTGTACTGTATTGTAATGTATACAGTACAGTATACTGTAGTGCATCGTATGTACGGAACTGTAGTCTACGGTACTGTACTATTCTGTACTGTGTTGTACTGTACATACAGCTTGAATAAGTATCTTATTATTTAATAATTATAATAATACATATTTAATAATAAGTATTCGAAAATCATCATTTGTGAGTGTAATGTAAAACATTAAATGTAATTATTTATATACCAGAAGGTACATTGGGTTTGTGAGAATACATAGCATAGTACAGTAATTACACTCTTGTAAAGCCACTAGTACGCGCAGCGTTTGGGGCAGGTCCTTTATCTAACAGATAATTTAAAGTAGGACAATTGTATCAAAATTAATAATTTCTCATCCATTTGGTACATGTATGTTTCTCATACTTTGGGTATACATTTGAGTTTATATATTTGAGTTTCAAAAAATAACTGTCATGAATTACTAAGGTATCCAATTACGTCGAGCCGACCAATGACAGTACAGCTTGCGACAATGTGACGTCAACTGAAAATGAGAAACGTGATTGGCTATTGAGTCCACCTGCTCATTGAGGCGCAACGGAACGTTATTTTGCCCCTAGAATTAGCCGAGTAGAGGTGTGCAGGTTAGTGTTAGGGCGTGATGTTACTCTGAGCTGGTACCCCGTTACCCTTTGGGGTCGCTAGGGCTGACAGACCCCTAGGTTACACTGTCAATCTGTACACCGTCAAAACGCACATAGGGCAAAAATATCTATTATTTTATAGCTGGCGTATATACCCCCTGTTGGGGGGTATATATATACAGCGAGATGTTTTAGTCCTGACCCATAATCAGTACTAAAATATAGTTATAAATGTTTACGTACTGTATTGATTTGTAACATTGTATGTGGAAAAAAGCAGTCTTGAAGCTCGAATGTGCCTGAGATATGAAGGTGGTGATGGGACCACTGGTGGACCGATGATTGGAGTCATACCCTGCCGAGCAGAAGGTGGTGGCAGATGTTCCAGATGTGCTACTTGAGTTACCAAGGTATGATGGGCCTATCCGACACAAGGTAAATAAAGTTTGAGGCATAGTAATATTGTATTAGGATACACTAATAACGCCTTATTGTAATTAATTATGGTTCTTTAATCATGTGGTCGTCCCGTTTAAATTTAATTACTGGGAGCCTACTTTGGGCAATGGAAGTTTGAGCATTCATTACTACAGCCATATCAGGACCCCCATCAGTTTTGTTTTAAATATGAAAATCTATGAGTTACGGTAATTAACATAAGAAAAAGTTTTGTCAAATATTGTAAAAGAGTATTTGAAGGAGGATGGTGCTTTGCTTCCGGTAACTTTGCTGATTAAGAGTAGTGAATAAGTCGGTCGATAGGCTTTGGCCGCTCTCGCTCGGGGTACAGTGTAGTCTTTTATCCAATTTTAAAGTGCTGTTTCCACCCCCCCCCCCCTACACCTTAGTGTTCGGGTTACCTGGGTACATAATTTGACGTATGAGGGGGGGAACCGTTGACAATACGTAGCCTTCCTGTCCTCGTCGAAGGACGTAGACATAAATTGACCCAGAGTAGTTTGACGTACATAGGTGATAACATTAAGCATTTACTTACATTAAAATGTTACTGGCATTATTAGGTTAATTTGTTTATAATATATACAGCATGAAATAAGCGCGACCTCCTTCGTAGGACAAAGAGCTCATAAAAAATAAAGCTCAACAATATCATTTATACGTGTAGGGGATGTGAAGGTTCCGGTTGACTTGCGACGAATGGCTGATTAATTTCAACTGCAGATGTGACCCTCGTGACAGTATTTCTTGTTTACTGTAGGTGGGTGGCGACGGTAGACGTGGGAGTGTGTAGGTGGTGGTTATGTTGTTATTGGTGTAATTGTGTAGTGAGCGGGATAGCGTGCGCTCCACCAGTAGTGTAGGTCGAGGCAAAAGTGAAAAAGAAACACTTTTGAAGTTAAGGTTGAGCTTCAGCTATTGGTGTAAGAGCTGTTGGTTATCATTGTGTAGCAGGACGTATATGGTGTGGACTTTTTTTCAGTGTTAATGGAGAATTGTGTAGTAGGAACATAGTCTGATTCCCTGGAACATTATCAGGCAATTTGTGGTGATATAGGTACCCCAATTACTACTGGTAGGTAATTATTTGGCAGTTAATGTTGTCTAGGCAGAACTGTAACAGACGCTGATTGGGGGAAGGGAGGATGATTATGCGCGATCACGAAAGCCGAAGAATTGTAAATCTCGTGTTTAGGTTCGGATTGTAGGTATACCAGACATGGTGTTTTGAGTGTGGGAAGGGTATTGTGATGGGTGCGCTTTGATGGTATTGCAAAAAAAATTAGGACTCGTCAGAGCTGCAAGACATGTTTTGGCATGTATTATAGTTTTCCCTCATCTAAACGGAGTTAGACGTTGGTAAACATATCAGAAAGTGATATACAAATTGTTATAGGTTGAATTATACAATTATATAAGAGCCAATGATTTAGCAGGGAAGAAAAAAAAATTGTAAGGAGTTTTGAGTAGAGTATTCATAAATAGATAGTTGTAGCCCTTAAGAAATGTTGTCAAGGTTAAATGGAATGATATGCATTATTTCATGCAGATCAGCGTGTGGAGAGGTGCGGGGTGGGCGGAACAGCAATGGTGAAGTATGTTTTTGATGAAAACAGCAGGGTTGAGGCCAACCAATGCCACACTGCAGAGTAATGGAAGAGGCTGTGACCTGCAGGTGAGTGTGATATGTTGATTTCAACACATGTTCCTCCATGAATTTCATTACGTAGTGCATAAACTGAAATCCCAAATATGAATATAGTATCATTCGTGAATTAATCATGTGGTGTACTTTGAGCATTAGACGTCATGAGACCCAGCCTTACTAGACGGAAGAGTTTTATTATATAATAAAAGTAAATTGCTGGAAGTAAACATAACGTGTGGAAGCTTGGGTGTGTGTATATGTGAATGCTACGCGGTATTCATCTATAGATGGTGAAATACACGTGAAGAACAGCTCACATACTCGCAGCTGCCAGAGAAGGTTAGTTGATAACCCCCCCCCCCCCACACAAGTGTCGGGAAGGTGGACTGGCGCTTTGTTTCATAACTCAGTGCATGTCCCATTTGAAAACTGACCCATGAGGCACCCCCCTCCCTCCAAAGGTGTTGTTTTTTGAACAGTGCATGGCCGTGTATTTGAGATAATGGTGATAAGGAATGTTTATGGTATATGAATGTTCAGAATCCTGAATACAATATAGTTTCGCAGGTGACACGCTTGAGTACCGAAGACGTGGATGACGTTGATACCATCTTGTGTAGTTACTGTAGGGACACAACCTCCAGCTGTTGAAGGATCAAGTTTGTCTTCCATACAAGGTACGAAAGAATAAAATTGTTGTAAATGTTTATAGTGCAGAATCGTCGAGCATCTAATTTGATGGTTATTAGATATCCAGTTGGTTTTGAATAGTTATTAATGTGGAGTATATATACTAGAGAAATACGAGGGACTGGCCTAGAAGGCGCGTCCTTACAGAGGGCAGTAAATGTGGTCTGGTCAAGGAAGGTGAAATATATAGTTGATGTAGAGAAATAATGTGGGGGAATTGTTGAATCATAAAGGAATAGATAGTTTTAGGGAATCATAATTAAATATTTAAACGAATTACCAAATTTGCTAATTTTCGTACTGTAATCTCCTAATATCGTAAACCTAATCTTCCTAATTAAGTACCTAATAATTAAACTAAAAAGTACCTAATTGCATCTTCATAGTTTTCTACATTGTTGCTTTCAAATTGCACTGTATCTAGTGGTACCCAATGTCCTAATCACGTACCCAATGCAAAAAAAAAAAAAAAAAAAAAAAAAAAAAAAGCTTTAGCATTGTGATCGTTGTTGTGTGCTTTCAATTTGCTGTATGGTGCCTATTAATGTTAGTATAAATTACCAATCAGCTGTCAATGCAATCGGAGCTTTAATACACCTCTACCTACTAATCTGTCGTATTTTTTATTTTTTTTGCAATGTATGAAGCATTGTATTAATTCCGCTAGAATTTACCTACTTAAAATTAAGTTAGATTAAGGACCTGGGGCCGGATTCAGGAAGGTACTTACGAAGGTTTTTCCTCTTAGCTAAGAGCGTTAGCCGCCACGAAGGCACTAAGACGGAAACGTCCGTATTCAATTAACTACCCTAAGTGGAAAAATCTTCGTAAGTTCATTCCGGGATTTAAGTGTGGTTTCGACCACTCGTAGCTTTACGTAAACTGGATATAAGTCATTTTTTCTCTACTACATAACACTGGGATCGATTTATGATATTGGAACATGACCAAAATATTATAGCTGGTGAATCTAGTGGAGAGGAGTCCTTCGTGTTAGTTATATATGCATTCTCTGCTTGAAACTTGAAGTAAATGTGTGTTTGATGATAGTAGAATTAGTTTTATAATAGCAACATATTATACCAGTAGTTTATTTACTTAATAACTACTGGTATAATATCTTGCTATTATAAAACTAATTCTACTATCATCAAACACACACTTACTTCAAGTTTCAAGCAGAGAATGCATATATAACTAACACGAAGGACTCCTCTCCACTAGATTCACCAGCTATAATATTTTGGTCATGTTCCAATATCATAAATCGATCCCAGTGTTATGTAGTAGAGAAAAAATGACTTATATCCAGTTTACGTAAAGCTAAGAGTGGTCGAAACCACACTTAAATCCCGGAATGAACTTACGAAGATTTTTCCACTTAGGGTAGTTAATTGAATACGGACGTAGCCGCCACGAAGGCACTAAGACGGAAAACGCTCTTAGCTAAGAGGAAAAACCTTCGTAAGTACCTTCCTGAATCCGGCCCCTGGCCGAAAGGCTGCGCGTACTAATGGCCTTAGCATGGTATTTACACTTGTATGTATTCTAACAAACTCAACGTATGTTCTTGTGTATATAAATAAGTTATTTATTTGTTATTCTAGGGAATAAAATAAGTTTGTAATATATGGGAAACGTTACCGAAATGCAGTTAAATTGTTAAGATATAAATGTAAAGGAGACGTGAATCTAGTGTTAGATCATTGACTTACCCTACTCTAAACGCTTGCTATATAAAATGTTATATTATTGTGTTTCAGTTCCAATGTGTTAAGGCTCTCAATTGATTTATCTTTGACCCGCATCACGGGTCCAAGTGTCTTGGTGTGAAGTTCGTTGGGCTTGAAAGTACGATTTGTTTCTCTGCAATTTATTACAATTTATGCATTGCCCCTGTGCATGTTTTAATAAGTTAATAAATAACTCAATACAAGAACCCACTTTTATTAAGTAAAGTAACCTAGGTTGTGATAGTTCCTGAGTTAAAAGCCTCATGGGTTTGACTTTAATGGTACGCAATACCAAGATAATCTTAATGTAACTCAATTTATTAGTACAATTTATGGGGGTCAAGCTGCATGTGATTTACTGTTACTGGTTTTGCAATTGTGATTACTTAATGGCAAACAATAGTTAAACAATAAAGTCACTGAGCTAGGCTGTGATAGGCGCGGAGTAGGGCCCCCACCACCCCCCTTGCCTCAAGATTACTGGCCCTGCATTGAAGTTTAGTTACATCAGCTAACTATTCCCGCAAATTATGCAGCGTCTTGCTGTATGTGTATTTATTTATTACTGGTTTACAATTATGTTTATCGCTTGTAAGTTATTAGGTGAAGTCAGGTAGGTTAGGCTAGCTGCTGTCACAGGCCTCCGGTCCGTAGCTTTAAGTTTTCATGGACTTGTAGTTTCCATAAGTGTCCTTAATTTATTAATGGATGTTATGCAGTGTCAAGCTGCATGTTTCTTTGGTTTTACATGTGTGTGTTTAACTTCTGCTTTGCCTTTGCATAATAACGTAAAGTCAGCTAGGATGTCCTAGGTGCTGTCTTCGGGCCTGAAGCCTCTCCATTTAAGTTTATCTTGGACTCGTATTATTAGTTCCTTCAGCAATTTATTGCTAGTTACGCATTGCTTAAGTGGATGTCATTTTACTTACCGTTCTAGCTTTATACTTGTTTTGATGAGTTTGTCATTAAGTAGTGACAGGTAGGCAGTACCAGTTTCGTTTACCAGTAGCAGTAAACGTTTGCAGTCGTTTTGTCTGCCGGGTGTAGCCCGAAAGAATGTGCGGCCTCCCGGCTGCTGGTTTATCCAGACGTTTTTGTCTGCCCAATGTAGCCAGGAAAGTTGTCATAGCCACTGCCGTCTTAACTGACTGCGTTCAGGGGCTGCTCTCCAGCCAACGTTCTTCCTGTGATGAGTTAAGGTGGCGATGTTATTCCGGTATTATATTTATATTGGTCATATAAATATGCGGCCTTGCAGGCCGCTGGTTTATGGAGACGTGTTACAATTACGGCTCGCTAGCCTTGTTGGTGTCCATTTCACTTTGCCTGAGATGGCGAGGTCTTTAAGTTCTTTGGGTACTGGTGCTCGCAGATGCTCATTGACACTCAGACTAGACTAGTATACGCCTCTTAAGGGAGTTTGTTAGGGGACGTATTCGGCTGTAACATGCTTTCGGAGGGGAACATACAATGGAGATCAGTGTAAGGGAGTGGGTTAGCATCCTTATAAATTCAGTGGACGCAAGCATGTTGCAGTTGCGCGTTAAGACGTGTTTCTAATATTTGAATTTTGGTTTGATTTATATATTTATTAATTATATACATAGTGGTCATATAAATATTTATTGTTTGGTTGTTTTATATTATCCATTTGATTATTTTGAACTGAATTATTGCTTGCTTGATCCCTCCCCCTGGATTAACTTCTGCCGTTGACCTAGATACGGTAACTGTCCCCCCCCCCCAACCTTTTATAGTTGTGTTGGTTTTTGCCGCTAAAGTTATGCTCGGGTTGGTAGTTACCTTACTTCCCTACAGAGTAGTTTCCTGGAAGATCTATTTCTCCTCCTATCCCCTGTGCCAGTGTTCCTTTTCAGAGTTTTCCCACAGGGTATCACCCTGGCTTTATCCATTAATGACACTGGCTGTTCGTTTCCGGAAATGTGCCCCTCCTCTTAGAAAGTAATTGCAGCAGTACCCTTAAGGGGTATGTTCCTTGCCCGTCACGTTCATACTGCATGGCCGTTTCTGGCCACCCTTACTGCCTTAATATTTCCAGAACCGACTACGGAAGGCGCACAAGGTACACCATTGATGAAGAAGGTAAAGGGATGGAGGCCGAGGGCAGACTACTGCACCCATGAGGTCGACACACATCCCTAGTTACAGCGGGCAGCCGCTGCGTTGGCCCTTCGGGGTTGTGGGTGCTCCGCCGGAACCCCCCCAAAGTGATAAGGCTGCAGATAGCTACGAAATATTCCCATGAATTGTAAATAGTGTAATGAAGTTAATGCAACTTTCATTTACTACGTATAGATGTAGTTAGTAATTTATTTAAACGTTATAAGGATTATTCATTTTAATTTTTTTTTTTTTTTTTTTTTTTTTTTTTTTTTTAGATATATACAAGAGTTGTTACATTCTTGTACAGCCACTAGTACGCGTAGCGTTTCGGGCAAGTCCTTAATCCTATGGTCCCTGGAATACGATCCCCTGCCGCGAAGAATCGTTTTTTCATCCAAGTACACATTTTACTGTTGCGTTAAACAGAGGCTACAGTTAAGGAATTGCGCCCAGTAAATCCTCCCCGGCCAGGATACGAACCCATGACATAGCGCTCGCGGAACGCCAGGCGAGTGTCTTACCACTACACCACGGAGACTGCAAATCCGTAATTGTTATGCACTAGTCAGTAAATATTTTTTATAATGAGCATTGATTTTAAATGAATCAAATAGCTAATCATTATACTAATTATTATATAATAATAGTTAAAAAATAAAAAATTAATATGTAATAAATTTATTTACCATTATAAAATAGATAAGAATAATACCTTTGATGTTTGTAACATTGTTGAAAATGTTTATAATTATTTTTATCTTGTCCCAATAAAGATACTTTAATACATAATGTTCATTCGAGTGTCAACGTATGGATAACTAGAAATAATGAAATAAGTAGTGTACCACTTCAAATAGTTTTGATGTGTGATATCATTATTATAGACACTATACCTCGGAGCTACAAGAATTTAGCCCCAAGAATCAAACATATTTATGGTGTGCTTAGTATATTAAACTGAAATGGGAATCTTGTATTGTGATTTGTACTCACTGAATTTGTGCGCCCCCTTGAGGTTCTTTAAGTCGAGGGGAGTAGATATACCCTAAAGTACTGTATCCCTTTCAGCATTAGATTTTCTTGTCAATAAACGTACTTGAAATGGTTTTATATTTGTTTTAACCACCACTTGTTTTTAGTCACAGGTGACATGTACGTATGTTTATAAACCTGTTTTGATGGCAATGGAACGGAGATTATGTATTGCGAAAAAGTAAATATCATTTGTAAAATATAATAATAATAAATAAAAAAAGTAAATAATATTGAAGAATAGTTTCTCAAAACATTATTAATCAATATTATTTAATAATTATTTACGAATATATTAAAAATTGAAATTGAAATCATTATTATTAAAAAAAAAAATATTATAGTTTAGAGACATATTGAAGAATATTATTCAAGAATATTCTTCAATATTATTTAATATTGAAGAATATTCTTGAATAATATTCACTATATATATTGATTAATAATCTATATATTTAATATATTGATTATTAATATATATATTGAATAATATTCTTCAAAAATGAATAATAATCTTCAATATTCAATAATATTCTTCAATATTAAATAAAAATCTTTAAAATTAAATAATAATATTCAATATTGAATAATATTATTGAAGAATAATCTTCAATATTCTTGAAATTTAAATAATATTCTTCAATTATTTAATTTTGAAGAATATTATTTAAATTTCAAGAATATTGAAGATTATTCTTCAATAATATTATTCAATATTGAAGATTATTATTTAATTTTAAAGATTTTTATTTAATATTGAAGAATATTATTCATTTTTGAAGAATATTATTCAATATATATATTAATAATCTATATATTATTAAATATATAGATTATTAATCAATATATATAGTGAATATTATTCAATATGGAAGAATATTATTTAAATTTTAAGAATATTATTTAATATTGAAGATTAATATTTAAGAATATTATTAATGAATATTGAACATTATTCATTATTGATGAATATTATTTAGTATTGAATATTATCCAATATAGATTAAAAATAATCTTCAATATTGATTATTAATAGTCTTGCAATTTAATTATTATTCTTCAATAATATTACACAATAATATTCTTCAATATTAATTAATATTCTTCAATATTTAATAATAATCTTCAATATTATTGAAGAATATTATTCAATATTGAAGAATATTATTCAATAATATTCAACAATATTCTTCAATATTCATTATTATTCAAATTTGAAGAATATTATTGAAGATTATTATTAAATATTGAAGAATATTATTGAAGATTAATATTAAATAAGAATATTATTCATTATTTAAGAATATTATTAAACATTATTATTTAATATTGAAGATTAATATTTTTTATTGAATAATATTATTGAATATTGAAGAATAATATTCATTTTTGAAGATTATTATTGAATATTGAACATTATTATTCAATATTGAAGAATAATATTCAATAATATTCTTCAAAATTATTCTTCAATAATATTATTCAATATTGAAGAAAATTAATATTATTGTTCAATATTATTGAATATTGAAGATTAATATTTGTTATTGAAGAATATTATTGTGTAATATTATTGAAGAATAATAATTAAATTGCAAGACTATTAATAATCAATATTGAAGATTATTTTTAATCTATATTGGATAATATTCTTCAATATTAAATAATATTCATCAATAATGAATAATATTGTTCAATAATGAATAATGTTCAATATTCATTAATAATATTCTTAAATATTAATCTTCAATATTATATAATATTCTTAAAATTTAAATAATATTCTTCCATATTGAATAATATTCACTATATATATTGATTAATAATCTATATATTTAATAATATATATATTGAATAATAATCTTCCATATTGAATAATATTGTTCAATATTGAATAATATTCTTCAATATTCACTAATATTCTTTAATATTGAAGCATATAAATTAATATTGAATACAAATCTTTATTATTTAATATTAAAGAATATTAGTGAATATTGAAGAATATTATTGAATATTGAACAATATTATTCAATATGGAAGATTATTATTCAATATTGAAGAATATTATTGATTTTCAGTTATTGCATTTATTATTGATTAAATAATATTCTATAATATTATTTATTATTCAATAATATTCAAAAATACTCATCATTAATATTCTTGAAAACTAAATAATATTCAATAATATTCGTCTAAGTAAGTAAGTCATTATCACAACAAGGCACCAAACCGGGAACGCTATGTAGCACCATCACATATCATAAATAATCATAGGGCGCTACATATCACCAACCATCCAAATACAACCACAACTATATCAAAACTATCCGAGTCACCAACGATTCTATCGAGGGACACGTGACCGCGAGGGGCGCTCGTCCTGCAAGTCAGGACATCCACGACCGTATTACGGACAATGCAACTACGACATTAAGGAGCAGGGCGGCGCTACATCCAGTGACCCTCGGTTAACCGAGTATGGCCAATACGCAACCTCGCCACAGCTCTTTCACCCCGCCGGTTACGGTGCTACGACGACTGCCACGAGCAAACACAACATTTAAGACCACGTACCTTCTTACCTCTAACAACCAACACGTGAGCAATGGATAACCGCCTAAAAGTCGCAATACGCAATGCCCTTACCAGACATGGGACAAGAGCCGACACCTTCCTTGCCGGCACCATCCCCACGCTCATTTCAAGAAACACCAATATGCCTGCGAACCAAACAAAACTCAACCCACTTACATTTACTGTGAACGGCAAACAGCCAATGCATCAACCGGATTAAAGGACCCGACAGCAATGAGGGCACTACAACAGTCAACAACAACAAAGGAAGACTGACAACGACAAAGCAGCAGACCAAGAGCATAGAGAATAGCATAAAGTTCCCCTGTAAAGATGCTAGTCTCCGGAGGCAAGCGACACATATAAGTGCGATCAGGAAAAACAACAAAGTAGCCAACACCGTCCGCTGACTTAGACCCATCGGTGAAGACAGAAACGGAGCGGGAGTGAGAAGAAAAGTGCTCGAGGAAAAGGCGTTTTAGAACCGTAGGAGGGGTAAAAGCTTTAGTGATACGGGTCAAGGATGTACAAAACTGCGGAAGAGGGACCCTCCACGGGGGCAAAGAAGGAACAACACGAGGAGAAACATCAGAAATACGAACGGAAAGAGAATCCTGTAGGCGAGATAACCAGACAGAAAGAGGGAGGTGGTGAAGAGGAACAGGAACCGCACGAGGGGTAAAAGTTAAAGTACGACAGAGGCGAGAGGAAGGATGTTGCAAGGACCGCGCAAGATAGCGAAGACAGTAGCGATCACGGCGGTCCTGGAGAGACAGGAAGCCAGTGTCAACATACAAGCTAAGGATGGGAGTCGAACCAAAGGCACCAGAACTGAGGCGCAACCCAATATAGTGCAAAGCATCAAGACGGCGAAGAGTAGAAGGAGAAGCAGACGAGTAAGCAGGGCAACCATAATCGAGCTTAGACAGGACGAGAGAGGAATGTAAAGCAAGGAGAGTGCGCCTATCTGCCCCCCAAGAAGTATGGGACAAGACCCGAAGGAGAGTAAGGGCCTTAGAGCACTCAACACGGAGGTAAGAGATATGGGGAGACCAAGACAAACGAGTGTCAAGGAATAACCCCAAAAGCTTCGCGGAATCTTTGTATTCAAGGGGATGACCATAAAGTGACAAAGAGGGACGAAGAACAACCCGTTTCCGCGTAAAAGTCATGGCACAAGTCTTAGAAGTAGAGAACTTGAAGCCATGACCTGTGGCCCAAGACGACACGGCATCAATTGCAAGTTGAAGCCAGCGTTGAAGGAGAGGCGAATCATCACCCTGACAACAAAGGGTAAGATCATCGACATAGAGAGCGGAGAAGACACCAGAAGGAAGAGAGGAAAGAAGACCATTGAGGGCAACCAGAAAAAGAGTAGTGCTCAGAACACTACCCTGGGGCACACCTTCGTATTGCTGAAAACAGGGAGAGAGAGCGGTACCAAGGCGCACCCGAAAGGAACGACGAGAGAGGAAGCTGCGGAGAAAGAGAGGGAGATGACCACGAAGGCCAAAAGAATGAAGTTGAGATAGGATATGATAACGCCAAGTGGTGTCGTAAGCCTTTTCTAGGTCAAAAAGGACGGCAACAACGGAGGTCTTCGCAGCA